GCTACTGGTGATGCTGCTACTGCTGCTGATGCTGGTGAAGGTGCTACTGGTGATGCTGCTACTGCTGCTGATGCTGGTGAAGGTGCTACTGGTGATGCTGCTACTGCTGCTGATGCTGGTGAAGGTGCTACTGGTGATGCTGCTACTGCTGCTGATGCTGGTGAAGGTGCTACTGGTGATGCTGCTACTGCTGCTGATGCTGGTGAAGGTGCTACTGGTGATGCTGCTACTGCTGCTGATGCTGGTGAAGGTGCTACTGGTGATGCTGCTACTGCTGCTGATGCTGGTGAAGGTGCTACTGGTGATGCTGCTACTGCTGCTGATGCTGGTGAAGGTGCTACTGGTGATGCTGCTACTGCTGCTGATGCTGGTGAAGGTGCTACTGGTGATGCTGCTACTGCTGCTGATGCTGGTGAAGGTGCTACTGGTGATGCTGCTACTGCTGCTGATGCTGGTGAAGGTGCTACTGGTGATGCTGCTACTGCTGCTGATGCTGGTGAAGGTGCTACTGGTGATGCTGCTACTGCTGCTGATGCTGGTGAAGGTGCTACTGGTGATGCTGCTACTGCTGCTGATGCTGGTGAAGGTGCTACTGGTGATGCTGCTACTGCTGCTGATGCTGATGAAGGTGCTACTGGTGATGCTGCTGCTGAAGGTGCTACTGGTGATGCTACTGGTTGAACCACAAAATTAGTATACTTGGACGTCACCGAGAATGTTCAAATACAAAGGAAATTTAGGCCACCCGCCTCACGCTCATTTTTTCCGAAAATGGCCCGCAATCGAACGGCTCCTACACTCCCAGATAATAAGGTTGACTGTAGAACTACTTCAAACTACGTTTACTCATAATTCGCTACATACACACGGCTAAAACTCTGCCGTATCCTTACTGGAGAAAATATATTCACAACCCGGTATCATTGAAATACACATGAATCGCGGTGTCCTAAAGCAACCAACCTCTCTCGTCGCCTTTCTCCTCTCCACCGATGAACGGTTCAATCGAGCTAACAAACGCATGCCGGTTGGCAATCTGATCAAGTGTCTTTCCACTGCAGTGCAGAGTGGTATACAGAACAAAACAGCACAAAAAACCAAAAAAATAGAAACAGGTCCACGTTCTAGGTAGGGCCGTAACAGTAGAGCCTCCCTCGGTGGACACGGTAGAGTGCCCCCCCCCCCCCCCCCCAGTGCACAGTAAAGCCCCCCCCCCCCCCATGTGGACAGTAGAGTGCCTGCCCCCCCCCCCCCCCCAGTGGACAGTAGAGCCCCCCCCCCCCCCCCCAGTGCAAAGTGCCTGCCCCCCCCCCTCCCAGTGGACAGTAGAGCCCCCCCCCCCTCCCCGTGGACAGTAGAATCCCACCTCGGTGGAATGTGGAGTCTTGAAATGCAATGCAGCATTTTGTGATCAAAAAGCCCCCCCCCCCCCTCACAAAATGTGCAGGCGTGTTGTCAGTGTTTCCATTACCCTGAACGCTTCGTTAATGAAAGCGGCTGATTGGTCCGCTCCAAGGCAACGTATTTGACCTATTTATATTATAAACCTGCGAGGAAAGCCTTTACTAACCCAATGGCACCAAGTGACATGAATTCAGCGTCGTGAACACCGCTTCCACCAGCGCTGTGATGACCGCTTCCACCAGCACCTTGACCACCACTTCTACTGCCCACACTGGCACAGGCTTCTGCTGCAAGCCAACAGACGGCGTGCCATTGGAGTGGCCAAGAGACATGCACACGCACACACACCCACACACACCCACGCACGCACGCACGCACACACACGCACACACACGCACACGCACACGCACACACACACCCACACGCACACACACACACACACACACACACACACACACACATGCAGATGCAACGTATACATGTACACACACACGGTTTGTTGCAGAAGTTTATTGTCGCCACTGAAACAAACATGGTTCATTTCATACTCGGACGGACCCCTCACTCCTCCAAAATGAACACAGTTTGCAATGCTGGACACCACAAATCAAGTGCATGTACACGTAGTGCATTGTTGAGCAAGTTAAGATTTTCGACCTCCACCCTCCTCCTCCTCTACCACGGATGATGTTCGCTTCAGGGCGACAACATATGACAGCGACCCCTTAGCAATTCTATGACATGTCGGTTGTCCAGGGCCCAAAACAGAGTCAGAACTGCAGTGTTGGCTGGGATCAAACACCAGCTTGCGGTGAGAAGAGGCTCAAATTTTACATTCTATCCACAGCAGATATGGTCCTGTGCTCATGCCGTGTTCAATACCCGAACGGGAATAGGTAACTCAAAACGAAAATAGAACAGCGTACCGGTTTCCTTGCGACTACCGGTAAAGGTTCACACGAATGCGGCGATCATGCAAAACATCATTTGGAAGTACCAGATCTGTTTGTATTGTGCATCCAACTAACCTGAAGGAAGAGAGGCCGATCTCGGGTCAAACAGCTTTCCACATGCATCCTGCAGGTATTGCAAGAGACCAAGTACACGCAAGCACATGCCCACGCCCACACGCACACGCCCGCACACACACACGCCCACCCGCACGCACACACCCGCACGCGCACACACCACACACACACATACATGTAAATACACACGAGCAAAAGCACACATGCATGCAAACACGCACACGCACAAGCCATAATCGCTGAAGTCAGAGTAGGCTCAAAATGGTTATCTCCTCATTAACATGACGGGAATATGTGGCAAGTTTTAAGAAAATAGAGACATGGTGCAACTTTGTGTGTGAAGAACTCTCGTCCTAAACAGAGATAAACAGAATTACAACAAGGCCTAGTGGAACTTGTCTCATGGTTCGTGCCCCCCCCCCCAAAAAAACATATGAAGTAAAGCTAGCGGCAGGCGCTACTAACGTAACGTTTATTGCATAGCTGCGGGAATTCAATCAGGTCAAGTTTCTAACCTGGTCAAGGCCCAGCCAGAACATGGCCTGCTCACGGATCATCTGTATATCCGGATTTGAACGTGTACACAGTGGGTAGTCTTCAGCCACTAGGGTGGAAGCGTCCAAGGCGTGCGCACAGCTTGGCGCGCGGCACGTAGATAAGCCATGCTGTAAACACTCCTCGCCCGATGTCTCTCCGCAGGGGCATGGCAATGTGCTGATCACTTCGACCTGCAGGCCCCACTTCCGTACCACTGTGAGCACGATTGCCCGGACTTCATCCAGCGTAGACTTTCCGCTACCGCCGTGTCGGCCCTTGCACTCGACGTACACTTGTAAGCCGTAGCGTGTATAGTGCAGGTGCAGCCACGGCCAATCTCTGTTCCAGCGAAGGCGAACGCTGCACCGTGACAGTGTGGCAGCCGAGCGCTTGTGTGACTTAAGCAGCACCTCCACCACGCATTGCCAATACAGGAACACGGGAAAGTGCATCAACTCATCTCGGTTTGTGTGCTTCATGGACACATAGGCACAGGAACAAGGCGTTTGCGGGTCCGTGCCCATCTCCAGGACGACTGCAGGTACAATGAACTCGTGCTCAGCAGACCTCTCATCCTGCACAATTACCAGGACTGAGAGCCATTCTAGGATTTCAAAAATGAGCTTGAACCCATCACTGCTTGCTCTGACTGCTTGCCACGCCTTAGCATGGTCGCAGTAAGACTGACCCTCGAACATCTTGTTGAGAGCTTTGCGTGCCAGGGACTCCGTCATGAACCCAGAACGATAGCACCGCGCTTCGTGCACTGTGATGTCTCGGTCAGGCTTCATGTAGACAAAGGCATTGACACAGTCCAGGATGAACTGGGGCTCCAGGATGACCGTGTCTTTCAGCTTGAAAGTTGGGAAGTACGCCAGGTGGCCTGCTTCGTGGCAGTACTTCAGCAGCAGCTGTATTTGCCGGTCACTGCAGTCATGTGGAACAGCCTTGACTTGCTTCGCTATGAACTTTGCCTCCTTGAAGGAAATCCAAGGCCAAGTGACCTCCTGCTTGAGCGTGTGTATGGATATGCAGAATCGGAGCCATGGAACAGGGATGTTACGTTGGCTCTTCTGGCAGCGGTCGATGATGGCCTCTCTCAATCGCTGCAGCTCATCTGCTTGTCCTGCACTTCCAGTGGATCTGGTGTTGTCGATTTTGAAGTGCGAAGTGTCGTTCCAGACAAGGTTCTGGTACCGCGTACCTTTTATCTTCTCTTGAAGTAGCTTACAAGGATCAGGCAAATCGGTTTTGTTCCACCTGTCACTCTGACACCCCACTACAAACACATCATCTGCAGCACTCTGGTCTGTGCTGCTGTCAGCTTTCGCATTCAGCAGCAGCATGTCGAGCCAGCCGAGCAGCTGGTCTAGGCGAGTCGCATTGGCCGGTAGAGTGGCCCGCTCGATACATTCTTCCCGGCTGACCTGAAATTCATCGAACTTGGGAAGGGTCTCTAGAAGATCCAGAGAAGAGTTGTATGTGGCAATGAAGGCTGTGTTTTTGGCCATGAAGAGGGGCTGTACGGATTGGTAGACTTGCTGCCCTCCAAGGTCGCGGAATGTGATGACGGTATAGTTGGGCGTGTTGGCCCGGTCAGAGATGTACTTTACCCGGTCTGCGTTGAGAAATCCTGTGATGATCTCGTGGATTTCCTCGCGCATTGCTGGCCCGTTGCTGCTGCTTCTGCTGCTGCTGCTGTCCTCCATAGGTCCTGCATGGGTCCCAGCCACAGGATCCTCTCCTGCTGGGGCTCTCTCTCTGTCATCTTGTGTTGTCTCTTTGTCTTGGGGATGATTCGAAGTGGATGGTTTGCACATCATGGTGATGACGTAGAGTCGACTCAGAGCATCTGGCATGTCTGGGCATTCGATGAATCGACAGTCATCAGAGATGTTTGTAGTTGCGTAGGACGTGCGCATGCCGGGTGTGCTGAGTTCATTCTCATTGTGCATCTTCTCAAGCAACGCCTTCAGCAAGCTGGTCTTTCCAACGCGTGCCGCACCAAGTATTACCACGTGCAGGAAATGGATGACGGTCGTACCGCCCAACCGGGCTGCCTCCTGCTCTGCTGCTTCGAGTTCACTGATACTTGGCAGAACAGCAGTATCTCCTGGGCACAACGATAAACACAGCACACATCAAAAATGTTGTGTAACTGCAGGTGACATTTACAGGGGCGGATCCAGAGATCTCTACAGGGGGGTTCCGGTTGAACCAAAATTGAACAGCCAAAATATTAGGGCTGAAACGAATGCTCAATGAAGCGAACGAATATTCTTTTTCCGAATACATGCGAAACGAAGAATATTCGGAATATTCTAAACCGTGCAATTTCCATGGATACCAAGTTTTATCCATGGTAACCATAGACCATTAATTGGCATACACCCCAATTACAAGAGAGACATTTGAAAAATCATGTGTCTTGCTGATTATAGCACATCGAAAAAGGCAAGCCTACTTATATTTTGCACCAAATAACCTTGATCGATGTCAAAAAGGCGAGTTTCTGTACAATATTCCTATTCTACTTTAACGAAGATTATTCTTTTTCCGCTTTGCATATTTCGAATATTCGAATAATTCGAATATTCCTTTCAGCCCTACAAAATATTATGGAATCAGATTGTTTTGAAGTTGTGCGGTTGACAGTAAGTTGTAATAACGACAATCCGATTGTGTTAGTGGCAATGGCATGCTTTTAAAACACACTACGGACATACTTAGTACCGTAAAGTACCGCCAGAGCACCCCGTCTACCACACACCGCTGGAAACTGAGTCGGAGCGCAGTTGTGGTGCGGTGGACGATGGAAAACCTGTACAGGGCCAAATGCTGCTGCTTACCCTACATTGTATATTTTTTAGTACGGACACATAATCATATACATGTATGCAATCGACTGGCACAGCGGTTCAGTGAGGGCTTGAAGACCCTTTCAACTTCTTGTAAAGATCGAATATGCAAGCCATGGGTACGTTGAGAGCCAGGAATGCCGAAATGACAACTATAAGTTACTTTCCCTGTCCATTTGTACTTTCGGAAATTTTTGGCATTTTACGATGCGAAATGCTCTATAGTCACAGGACAAGAGCATCGTCTTCACTTCAGTGACAGAAACAACAACAGCGAAACAGTGTCGACAATAATTATTGTACAATCCTTTCAATGTCATCTAAAACACATCGCTGGCGCAGCACTCCGTTCCTGCGGAGGAACAACTAGTCACTACTGCATGCTGCAGCAGGTAGAGATTACTGACTTTGCTTGGATGTCGGAGCCCTCATCTTCTGAGGAGCTTGAACTCTACGTGTACGGTTCGAAGATCGTTGAAGAGTTTCAGTCCTCGGAACATCTTTTCTCTTCTGCAAAAAACTTGTCCAAGGAATACTGACCACACCACACCCATCCCGAGCAGCAGTGAATGACAGCGCCAATGGAGGTAAGTAATTCGTTTGGATCGTTTCGAAAGATCAAAAAGGAAACAGCCACCCAATGTTGTCTACACAACAGTGTCCGTTTGTAAATCACGGACGTGAACACCAGTACAGACTACTATCCGTACAGACTGTCAGTATCGATCTACCGCACGCGCTCCTCGACTCAGTGACTGCACTGACTGTGAATCTGATCGGACGGACGTCCTTTTGTGCACAATGATATTTTTCGATATTTCTCAGCCGCACACTTTGCAAAATTTAGGGGGTTCCATGGAACCCCCGGAACCCCCCCCTGGATCCGCCACTGATTTACAGTTTGTTGTTTCTTTTGTATTACTAACAAGAAATCATACAGTACAGGCAACAGGAATGCAAAACAAGTGAGAGTGCATCTTCACTGCATGCACTCGTATTATGAGAAAGCCCGCTTGAGTCCCAATTTTACGGTGTGTCTGAAAGGCATTGCTTCCCGCACAATAACCACTCCATCACCAGAATATTGGCAGACAGGAGACACCTGTTATGGTGTTGTTACAGTTGAAGCACTGGCTTTTAGAGTCCAGGGGCGTCACACACGCTACCACCAGTACCACCATGCTTGTACCACTTTTCGCACCGGATGCTGCGCCCAATTCATCCAAAAAAACAAGCAATAAAAGAGCACTAAAATGTGCCCTGTTCACCCAATAATCACTATTTACCAGTGTTGCAAAGAATAGCAAATCACGAACGAATATTCTAACAAATATGCACAGTACGAACGAATATTCTACTATTCTACCCATACAGACGAGCCCATTTCAGCACACTATGCTTCCTTGTTTATTTGAGCCAGCGCGTGCTAAGACATGACCACAGCTTTTGTGGAAAAGTCGAGAAAACGCGATTTGAATTCCGCGACAAAAAAATACAAAGTTCTCCTCGGTAGACTGGACTGTTCTGGATGTAACTCTTTGTTGCAAGTACATGAAAATTTATTCGTTTCAGTTTGGATTCCATGTTGCACTGAGTCTCCTAAAATGGATCGTCAACGATGTATCGAAGGAAGACCCTAATATACTTCGGAGCGGAAGAAGACGACATCCTCGGGTTCCATGCGCAGGATTAACTATTTTGTGGACTTGCGAAGGAAACAGAAGTCTCAAGTCTCTCAAACTCTCCCACACGGAGCTAGCTTTACGATCCGACATCACGGATTTCTACCGACTCGAAACTAAGCAAAGCGGACTGATACGATTCGAAACTAACCAGGAACTGCTACAAACTACGAAGAAGAACATAAGTATTTCTTGCGAAGGTGCAAGCTACAAACGGCGCGTAAGTCAAACTGGGCAGCATTAGCGGTAAGCGACAATATGTTGACGATGTCGTTTGCTGCTCAATTGCAGTGACTGTTGCACATTCTACGATGCAAGAACGCAGCGAGCGTGCTGCGATGAGCGAATTTAGCCTTTGTACGGAAAGCTGTACACAAAGTGTAGCATTTCGAACATTCGACTTCTGACTCGCACGTTCGAATATTCTGTGCAGCGCAAAAAAACCAAGATATTCAATTATTCGAATATTCGCTGCAACACTACTATTTACCCTCGGGCTTTTTTGATGCCATTCAACGAAACGTGTAGTGGATAGTCACTACTGGAGGGTTCATAAAGGCACATTTGTCTGTTGTGAAGTCGGGGGTTTGCCCCGTACATTGAATTTTGCATGGCAAGACAAATTCGGAAAATGCAAAAATTGGTTACGGGGTAACTGTTTCCCATGCCCCCCCCCCCCCTCCTACTATTTTGACCTGGCTAGAACCCTGCCATCATATCTTCATGCTAATGGTACTACTTGGGGACATACAGCTCTATTGCTTCCAACTGGACATTTGCTTCGTTAGTTGCTGCTCATCATGAGCAATTTGCTGCTAGCGGCCTAGCATTGCTTGCCAGCTCTTCGAGCTCTTGCATTACGAGACCATTTACTCGAATTAACACATTGTCTCCAAAGCCAGTCCTTGTTGCCCTGACTGAGTGTGAATATGTGAGGGATTGGATGCTAAATAGTATTCCAACCAGTGATGCACACTAACCCAGTTTTCAAGAACGAATACTCTATCAAATACCAAATCTGGCAACGAACGAATATTCTAGTATTCGTTGAAATTGTTGACGGCCCAGAAACTTCTGCATTGCGTCTGCGCTTTTCGCCTGGGACACCTTCGCATCCGTGGCAGCTACAGCCGTCGAGCAAGTAACATGCCGTCGGGGAAGATTTTCCCGCATTGAGCTCGTAGCCGAGCCATTGAACTCGAGCTTCGTCTCGCAGAGTTTGCATTCAATGTTTGCGCCTCCATCAACTTTCTCGGAGTGCTCCTAAACGGAGCTGCTACGACCAGCTGTGCCAGAAGCCATCACAAAAAACGAACTGGATGTCCAGGCGGTTCTTCAACGTGAAAGAGAGGGGTGAGTTGGACCGAACTAAAGTAGTAAAGAAGAAGGCATTATGGGTTCCCACTTCGCAACAGTACAGTGCACGCACTGTACTCGTACAACTACACGTGTCCTTTGCAACTGTACTACAGTGCCGGCACTGTATTGTTACTACTACTAACTGTTTGGCGCGCGCTCACACAGGCTGGATTCGTCGTCAAGTACACGTACGGTAACCGCTGTACTGTAATCTGTAGCAGCGGCCCTAGCTCTACTGCCGTTAGCGCAGGGTCCACATGTACTCGTACAAAACTAGCATGCATGCCACACATAGAACATGATTGTACAGCTCTTCAAACGAACTTTATTACTATTCGACTATTCGTGTGCATCACTGGTCATGACTTGTAACTTTTTTGCGGAAAAGAAGTTTGAGAATTGATTTGTCACTTACCTGCTTGCAGCTGCTTGGCCTCCTTCATAGAGAGTCAGAAAAAAACAGAGGCACAAATCACACATATTTGTTTAACATGCTCTCTCTCTCTCTCTCTCTCTCTCTCTCTCTCTCTCTCTCTCTCTCTCTCTCTCTCTCTCTCTCTCTCTCTCTCTCTCTCTCTCTCTCTCTCTCTGTCTCTCTCTCTCTGTCTCTCTCTCTATGTCTCTCTCTCTCTCTCTCTCTCTCTCTCTCTCTCTCTCTCTCTCTCTCTCTCTCTCTCTCTCTCTCTTCCTTAGTTCCGTATCGTATTTTCCGGAACATAAGCCGCAATTTAAGCACTCGTAATCCCCCCCAAAAATAAATGTCGGTGTGACTTCTACTACCATGGTGAAATGAACTGTGATATACAGGATAGATGTTGGTTTTTCGTCACAAACATGACAGGACAAAGATGACAGGACAAAGATGAACCTAGAGCAGTAGAGGCAACGAGATGAACAAGGAACTCACGGCACAGAGTAAGCGCGAATTTTCTGGTTTCAGACCTTGTATTTTTTTGGAAAATACCAGGGCATTTCAATTTAGCACGGGGCACGCGGGATGGGCATAAAAAAGTGCATGGACCTCAGCTTTTCAGAGCAGTAAGAATTGTCAAAATCGGTTGAGTTTGAGCAAGAAGCTGAAAAAAATGCTAGATTGAGTTGTTGTGGCGTTTCCAAGGCATGATAGGAGAGTTTGGAAAGGACATGGAAGTGGCCCTGATGTGCCTATGGAGCTGAGAGCTGTCAGGATGGATTTGTTTGAAATTGTAACATGCATTATACAGTATGACAGGATATACAGGCAGAAGCTGTATAGGCTGAAATTTAATGGGGCCGAAAAGGATTTTGGCCTGCGGATGCTGAAATTTAAAACGTGCTGATAATTTGTAGACTTACAGTATCCAGTGTCCAGTATCACAGTAGTAGATATCAAACTCAACTCACTTACTAAAGCCACAAGTCGCCAAGATACTCAAGACAAGATGCAAACTGGAATAATTCACTGGAGCTGGTTGTCGTCGCAGTGATTTCCAAGTGTCCATTGTACACAGCACGTTCAGCATAGTGCTTGCATTTAGCTCCAACTCTGGCAACAGAGCGACAGGCGAAGCCCTATCCATTTATCAACTGGGCCGTGCGGATACGACTTTGAGTTTGGCATGGGAGTGGCTACACATTTTCCCCTGTTACTAGTGGAGCAGTTATGCCGCTCCCATCATCATCATCATCCTAACCCCAGTTGTCGTTCAGGACCGTACGGGTTCGTCGTATCAGTGTTGAAAGAGCAGCGGTTGTCACTGCTGGGCGGACGAGATGGCCCATCCGCTATGCGGGCCATACCGCGTGGGAATCATTGTAATGTCACGGTTCGCGAGTTGCGCAAACGTTGCGCTTGGCAATTTGGCCAGAGCAGTTCGTTAGAAATCGTGGCCACCGTTATCAGAAATCTCGGTGGCAGTTCCGAATTCACCCCGCGTCTCCAGACCAGACTTGATAGCGTAGCTGATCATCCGGAAGACCATTTATCAGTCGGGATGATACTTGTCCATCGGATCACTGTTGGCAGAGCAGCTGTTGCTACCGCCGAGGGGACGAGACGCCCCAGCTGCTGCGCGGGCGTGCGGTGAGGAACATTCGACATACCACGTAACCAACGGAAAGCAGTTTTCAATGCCTCTGAATTCTGACAACCCACTACAAGGTGCTTTGGTGCACCCTGCCCCGCAGGTTCTGACACCACTGTCGCCTGTGGGTGACATCGAATAGCGGCAGCAAATTGCTTTCTGTTGATATGGTCGGTCGTTACTCACTACCTACCCTTGCCCCGCCGGGGGCAAGTCATGGTTGCCGTGTGCACGCACGCATTCATGCCGACGTATCTGTGCCTGCCGTGCTAATCTTTCTGTCAGGCATATGTTGAACAAAAAATGCCTGCCTGCTCCTTTTGAGGCCCGATCAGTGCATTACGGCTTGTGCTTCCATTTGCTCCGCAGTCACTACCGGCCTCTGCACTCGCTGGTCGACGCTTTGTTCGGGAGTCTAGTTTTGTTTGCATTCAGCATGTCATTAACTATTCATTCGCGTGGTGGCCGCCCGCGCCAACTCTATGGTTTGCTGGCCGAGAGTGAGATCGCACCTGAATATGGTGATAAGACGCTGTACATCTTGACGCTATGCACATAAACATTGCCTCGCCAGGACTGCAGTATGCTGGCTGATAGCGTGGGCAATCCACCCTGTCCTGGATTGACCATCAGTCTACTACCGTCGCCTCGTTCAGTGTTACCTGGGCCCTTCTCTTTTTGGGGAAACTTGGCCAACAAACGCAATGTGCTCAAAGGCTCGCTGACAATGTTGTGCAAGTTTTCACCAACAACCGCCACGCGTCCCACCAAGATAAATCGGGCAGGAGGAAAGTGCTCTATGGCTTGGATCCCCAGCTTGCACGTGCATACGCACCAGATGTGATCTGGAGGCGCATTATGCATGGCTCAGCGCCGGGCAGGCTAGTAGCCAATAGAATGAGCTAACCTGGAACTGATGGCCAACGTTTGCGCTTTCCCAGGCCAGTATCAGTGCTAGTGATTGGTATGTGGGCCCACGCCAGCATCTCAGAGCAGTGTGAGTGCGTAGTCCGCAGGTATGGCAGTGGTGAGGATATGGACGTGTGCTGCGTGCTGTACATATGTGGATGTGCATGTGGCAGGCGCGTATGTTATCGTGTGAAGTGATGGATGGGGTGCAGAAGTGCAGGTGGTGAGAGTTTGTGGCTACTGCTAGAGTGGCTAAGGCGAAAGCAGCCATCAGGGCGGGGCAAGATGGCCTGTTCGCTGGTACGGTATGTGCTTTTCTAGGCCGACAAGCTGTATGCGGTGTTGGCGACGATCGGGCCAGTAAGTGGGCTCACACGAGCAGCTTGTGGTGGTCTACGGGCATCTATTCTCTGTCACATGAATGCGAGGCGGTCGAGAGAACGCTGGTGCGTGCTTATGAACGTGTGTGCGTGGTGGTGTGTGTGTGTGTATGAGCGTTCTTTTCGAGCTTGTATGAGGTTATATGCCTGTGTAGGAAGAGAATATACGGATGTGTAAGAGGCGAGAGAGTTCTCGTGGATACTCTGAAAGCCACAGTTTATACTGCTTTGCTAGCCGGTACCGTGTACCCTAGTCAGAGCAATTGATGAGGTAGCGGCGGCATCATATGATTATGCATAGGTATAATGCTGAGGGTACAAATACACCTTCCGTAGTGGGGGTGCCATGCCTTCTAGGTTTATCACTTTTTTGGGTGCAAGCGGGCATCATATCGTATGCGTGTGGTGTGACGCCTAATGCCAGGCAGTTGTGTGAGTTCTTGGCCTCGGTAGTCGTTCGTTTGCCCTCAATGGGCAGTATAATTTCGGCCCTAGGGGCAGTATGCTTTTCCCTTGGCGGGCAGGTTGTCGGCCTCGGTGGCTATTCATTTGCTCAATAGGCAGTATGATTTAGCCCTCGGTGGGCAGTATAAAATCGGCCCATGGTGGGCAGCATGCTTTGGCCCTCGGTGGGTACTACGCTTTATCCCTTGGCGGGAAGTTTGCTTTAGCCCTCGGTGGGCAGGCTATTGGCTCGATGGCCGTTGTGCACCCTCGGTTGGGCGGTATGCTTTAGGCTTCGGTAGGCAGGTTGCTGGCCTCGGCGGCCGTTCACACGCCCTCGATTGGGCTTTACGCATATTCTTGAACCCTCGGTCGGGCTATAATCATGCGCCCTCGGTCGGGGTATAATCATGCGCCCTCGGTCGGGCTATAATCATGCGCCCTCGGTGAGGCTATAACCATGCGCCCTCGGTGGGGCTATAGCCATGCGCCCTCGGTCGGTCTATGCTATAATCATGCGCCCTCGGTGGGGCTATAATCATGCGCCCTCGGTGGGGCTATAATCATGCGCCCTCGGTGGGGCTATAATCATGCGCCCTCGGTTGGGCTATAATCATGCGCCCTCGGTCGGTCTATAACCATGCGCCCTCGGTGGGTCTATAATCATGCGCCCTCGGTGGGTCTATAGCCATGCGCCCTCGGTCGGGCTATAATCATGCGCCCTCGGTCGGGCTATCATCATGCGCCTTCGGTCGGGCTATAGTCATGCGCCCTCGGTCGGGCTATAGTCATGCGCCCTCGGTCGGGCTATAGTCATGCGCCCTCGGTCGGGCTATAGTCATGCGCCCTCGGTCGGGCTATAGTCATGCGCCCTCGGTCGGGCTATAGTCATGCGCCCTCGGTCGGACTATAGTCATGCGCCCTCGGTCGGGCTATAGTCATGCGCCCTCGGTCGGGCTATAGTCATGCGCCCTCGGTCGGGCTATAGTCATGCGCCCTCGGTCGGGCTATAGTCATGCGCCCTCGGTCGGGCTCTAGTCAGGCGCCCTCGGTCGGGCTATAGTCATGCGCCCTCGGTCGGGCTATAGTCATGCGCCCTCGGTCGGGCTATACTCAGTCATGCGCCCTCGGTCGGGCTATAATCATGCGCCCTCGGTCGGGCTATAATCATGCGCCCTCGGTCGGGCTATAATCATGCGCCCTCGGTCGGGCTATAATCATGCGCCCTCGGTCGGGCTATAATCATGCGCCCTCGGTCGGGCTATAGTCATGCGCCCTCGGTCGGGCTATAATCATGCGCCCTTTGTCGGGCTATAATCATGCGCCCTGGGTCGGGCTTTAATCATGCGCCCTGGGTCGGGCTATAATCATGCGCCCTTGGTCGGGCTATAATCATGCAGCGGACAGGTTGCTGGCCCCGTCGGCCATTTGTACGCCCTCTGGTCTAACATCAAATACTATTCTATTTAAAATCTTTAATCAAATTGAAGTCATGGCAACCCCCAAACCTATGTGTTGATTGCTTGTGAGTGCGTGCGTGATTACGTTGTTGTACGCACAGACGGGGCGTGGGAGTGTCTGCAAGTATGTTTGTGCACATGAATGTGTGTGTGTGTGTGTGTGTGTGTGTGTGTGTGTGTGTGTGTGTGTGTGTGTGTGTGTGTGTGTGTGTGTGTGCGCGTATGCAGAGGTATGCCCGCAGACCTGGGTGTGTACCCGTGGGCTTGGGTTT